CAGAATGATTAAATTAAAAGAAAGATCTGTATACTTGCTGAATGGTAGTATTTTGATAAGCAGCTTTAGAGAGAGTGCAAGGAAGATAAATTAAAACATTTTTGTTTTATAGAGAGGAACACATTGCATTTAATTACTCAGATCATCAATCTATAATTCTCTTAATAAATTTGAAAGTTATACAAATGCAGAATTCTGAGAACTGCCTATGTGCAGAGAAATTAAAACTATTTTATTTCAGGATGTTGGCAATGCTGGCCAAGATCTCCTTTAATTTTTTTTTTTTTTTTTTTTTTTTTTTTTTTTTTTAGTCCAAAGGGATTTCAGTCCCTAAGGACTATTGCTTTCGTTTTGGCATTTTGCGTCGGACTCATAAACGTCGGTTCACTTTTCAAACTGTTGCCACAAAATGTTAAGAGTCCTGCATTATATTTGAAGAAATTAAATAATGAAAAATCTGCATAAATGATTGTCTATTTCTCGCATTGTGATAAAACAATGGTACATAGAGCCATCGAATTTTGAATGACGAAATCCTACTGCGAATATGGGCATCTGGAAATCCCAAATTTGGAATTTGTTTTTTATTATCGATTTATATTTTGTAAAACTTTAACGAATTTTGATTACAAAACTCAATGCTTTAAAAGGGAGAAATGGCAACGTTGTATAGAAAAAAAATACTTTTATCTCCAGCTCGCGAGACTCTGTATATCGGAAATTCTAAAGATATGCTTAATTTAACACTATTTTGCGATATTACTCTTGAACTGAATTTTATGGTTTAAGTTCGAAGAACGTGATATTTAATAAATAAAGATAATAGACAAAATGTTTTTAAAAAAACGCCCCTTTGGACGTAATTTAAAATCTGAAATCCTTCACATTTTCTTTTTTATTTAATTGTTTAATGTCTTTTATGTATAGGTACATCACGTCCACACTTTGCTGCTCTTTTGTACTCATAATAGTAGCAGAGTAATTTTAGCGCAATGTGTGGCAAAAAAAAGAAAATGCATACCTTATTATTGTTATTAAACTTTTCTTCTATCTTAGAGTTGTAAATATTCGTTGCCCTTCTTTTTCGAAGGCGTGGGGGAACAAAGCGGGATTTTATACGTTAAGTGAAAACGCAGTTCCTTCGAGCTGTAACGATAAATTCAAACAGACATTGTATTACTAAGAACTGAAGATGGATTGAAAAACATTCAAAATAGCTAGACCGTATATAAATTATGTCTGCTACAAGCTTTAGTCTGATTGCTTTCCGAATAAACAGAAGATACAAGATGAGAAGTGAATGAAGAACATGGCAGCAAAATAGAAAAAAAAATATAGTCTAATTTAAATGGGACGGAAAACATAGACCAACAAGATATAACTAATATGTTATTAAAATCCTCCAACAGGGCAATTATATGGCTTGACCGCACGAATTGTTGAAGTACTGCTGAGAATTAAAGAACAACATTTTATTACAAGTTTGCCCGAAAACAATGCTGACCTAACTATTTCATTTTGAAAGTACGACATAATATTATGTTTTACTGGCTACAGCTGTAGGGATTATTTTAATTTTCTAATAGCTATTTTTAATTTCCAAACCCTTTTCTTTAAATTTAAGTTTCCCACCTACAACTCCCTGTCAGAATGAGTTTTCAGCATTGCGTTTTATGTAAATGAGATAGAACTAGTATTTAATAGGAAGTTCATTCACTTCAGTAGTTCTCAGTAGAGTGTACGGTCCACGTCCGTTGCTTTAAGCTTATCTTACTACGTTCGCCGTAGTTTTACATACTTGTTAGTATTTGCCGGTGAGGTTTAATTAAGGGCCAACTGGGTTAGTTATTTCTGTAGAGCATCGGCTAAATTTTAGTTAGTTATAATTAGTTTATTTTCTTATTTTCTATCTCAAGTTAAAGACCAAGTGGAGGCTTTCCTGCAACCCAGAGAAGAGCCAACTTTCAAATATTTCTTTTAGTGAATAAAAGGGTATTTTATCCATTTCTTTGTTTCTGTAGCTGTAAGAAAAACAGCGAAAACAGCTTGTATTAAAGACTATATATTACATTTAATGCAGCCATCAGCTTTTGACTGTCATGCGTAGCTGCCACATTAACGAGAACTTTGAAGATTGAAATCTACGCAGATCTACTTGATACCAGAACAAATCTACCAACACTCACACACAGCTGTAGAGAACACGTTATAATTCACCCACGGATATTATGAAGGAAAGTTTCGTGCCATCCGATTTCTTATAGATTTAATATTATGAACTGTATAATTATAGTGAACTGTTATTGTGAACTTCTAAATGTATAAAAATCGGATGCAACAAGATTTCCAATTTTTTAGAATTTCTGCAGGTTTTAGTTGAAAAATTATTAATCCTTACATTCATCTTTTTATGTTGCTAGAATTACGAAAGGCTACTTTAGGCATTGTTCTTTTACCTTCACATCCATCTTTCTATCTGAGACTATGCCAGGTATGTGTAGCATTCATTGCTTAGAAAACTAAGGACATACAATAAACATATCTTGTGAGATCCTACCGTGTCACGCATTGAGTAAAAGAACCATTGCTACAAAGGGTTTATATCGGTTCTTTGATTTTATTCGAGTTCTTTGACTGAGATAACAGACAGAACTCTTTTAGACGGAAAAGTGTAATTAGACTCACGGTTCTAAATCATGACTTTTACGCTAAATAACTTGTTGTGTAAAATTATTAAGCTGTGGGGAAATGGAGAAACAACAACAACAAAAAAAAAAAGGAATTTAGCAATTGGGGTGCATAATAATTGCTGTTATTTTTAAGGTATTTTCCCCTCCTTCCATCATGCTTTTGTGGTGTAACGGTAGCACCCTCGGCGCGTAGTCGTTAGTTACAGGGTTCAAGTCCCGGCGAGAGCATCGCACATCATTCACGACGCCTGCTTCGAAATAACCTAACGACTCTACAAACTTTTATTATTTAATTAAATGAAAGTTACTATTAACATCGCTTCTTAAAAGCAACCGTGTTAATCTGGTTGAATTTTTTAGTTTATTCATTAATTAGTTTTGTGCGATGATAAATTTTTATCTTATCAGATCGGGTATAGCAAACCCAATTATCGGTACCTTTGAAGTTTATTACAGAAGGTTTCGACTGTATATGCTTTCCATATGAATACTAAACTTCAGTTGCTTATTTTCAACAGTTGTTTGTGGTGACGATATTCATTGGCACCCGTGACAAAACATTTCGCAGTTCTATACGTGCACAATAAAAATAAATTAAAGTAAGATAAATACTGGACTGTTCGAGGTTTTTTAATAAAATTTTGATTAAAAATCACCATACCTAATTTGCTGTATTTATGAAATCAGTTTAAAATTATGCCCGATCTTTGGATGAAAAGGATAAAATTTCACACCTTTATACCGCAGACCATGTACCTCGAAGCGTGGACTAACTCTGTATCATCACTTTCCAAAGAAGTTTTGCATATTCTTCTTGTCATAATGGTGTGAATATTTTAAAAGACACTGCGTCAACAACACCGACCTTTATGTCTGTGGCGAAATTGGTACTCTAGACCATCATTTTACCCGCTGCTTACTTAAAAGAGAACAAACACCACTTTAAAATCCCTAGTAAAAGCTTTCTGAAATTGTATGGTAAAACAGCGTCATCTTGTGGCAAGGCTCGCCCAGATTAATGACAAGCTTGTCGGAGCCTAACCATGCCTTCTTATATAATATATATATATATATATATATGTCATGTTTTAATTCGTAGATGAAGGAATCCAGTACTTTAATTTCTGGTATCCGAAGACACTTTACTGCGTAGTTGGAAGTATGAATACATAAACCAAAAACTTCCAGGTATGTCCATTTCGAAACATAATTATATTGCAGGATAATTTACATCAGACTTCCTGTAGATAAGATATTTTTGAACCATATTTGAATGCAATAATTTGCATGTACACGGGTTTTAAAGTACGCCGTCATCTTAGGCAAGTAAGCAGCAGGTGGATGAGAAGCGTCTTGCCAGGAGGAAAGCGTTAGCGAAAAGGAAGTAGCTATTCAAAGGAAGAAGGGAGGGAGTCAAAAGTTTCAGTTCTGAGTTAAAAATTGTAGGTTTACAATTATTTCATTGGGCAAGAGGTATCTGCATTAAGTGTTACGCAACATAGAAATATTTCGAATTTAGGAGAAGACACGAATTTAGGGGAAGAGCACCAAATCTAGAATAGTTAATTTTGAGGCCGCCAGTTATTCTTAAAGCAGCCATCGTATTTTGTTATAGCTTATATATATATATATATATATATTAAAATATATATTCTATATATATATATATATATATGCAAAAAACAAAAAAAAGTAAACTATATATATATATATATATATAATATATAATATAGTGTGTGTGTGTATTTGAATATCCTGCAATATACGTTTCAAAAATTCTGTAAAGTTTGTAAATTGCATTTAAGTGTATGTTCTGCTGCAAAGTAATTTAAGTATCTGAAATAATGTAATAATAATGTAAATTATGTAATTATGTTGTGAACCAGAACGGCAAAAAAGTCTTATAATGTTAATGAGAGAAATGAGATTTTGTGGCAAGGTTTTCAGTTGTAATGTTTAAGAAACGAATTCATATGAGTTGTAGTTTATTCAAAGCATCATATTTCATCTACACAGTATTAATTTAAAGGATTTCTGTTTCTTTTCTTAAGTTAAATACTTATAAACATATACGTAAATAAAATATTTCCAAAAAATTTTTAAGATTTTTTTTTAAAATCTTGCTTTAAGCGTTTCGTGTTGATAACTGAGAAACACTAGAAAGAAGAAAGAAGGTTTAGCCCTTGCATAAAATTTGTTCTAATAAATATGCGCCATCTTCAGTTTTCTCTAACGAAATAATATGAAGAATCCAACTCAATATGAAAAGAATCATATCCATATAATGCCAAAAAATATTGCAGTGTCGTTTTAAACTGCATATGCAATTAGTTGATAGCGGTACAAATTAAGTAAGGTTGGAACGATGTTTTTATTAGGACTCAAGTTTCATATTTCGAACTGGGAAGAACTTAATTTAGGGCTTATTAGATAACACAATGAAAGCTATACAATTTTGTTCACAGTCTTAGTCTCATTTCTATAACTGTTTCTGGAATCATTGATCTACGCATGTTTTGGATTGAGTCGACGACGTCTCTTTCGGAAGGGATACTTGAGAAGTGCAATGGTTGTTTCCAGAAATTCAAAAAGAGCTACTAGGGAAATTCCAAGCCAGATGCCGATGTATCCACCCATGTAACTGAAAATTTCAACGATCTAAAAAAATTAAAGAAAAAAATGCTTAATTTTTTCAAACGTAATATAAGATCCTCAAACTGAAAGTAATAGTTATCATATCTTACGCAATTTAACGTAGCTTATTAATATTTTTAAATTTATTATTTGATGCTCTCTTGATATTTAATTAAATTATCATTTCAAATACAACCAGTTTCAAATAATGGTTTAAATACTTAAAAATTTAACTTTAAATTAAATTTTATATGAATGTATAGGAATTATGGAATAGATAGCAAATTAATAAAAAGCATTTTTTTTTATTTTTACCAAAGAAGATATGTAAACATTATCATAATTTTCGGTACTAGAAAACCCATCCGCATTTGCTCTGAGATTCGAAACTCAGATTTTCTGTTTTCTTTTCGGCGGGCTATTTGTTGCACCAGAGTGCACCTATTAGAGCACGCAGGTGGTGAATGTCTTAGTTCTTTACAGCTAACTTCTAAAACGTTGTTAAAATGCATCATATATTTATGAAAAGAACTTACATTATACTTTGGTGTGTAGGAGTAAACTGTTTGTTCCATCTTTTGGAAGGAAATAGTGACGAAAGTAAGACCTCTAAAATGAGAGAATTTGAATTATTTTTATACAAATATAAGAAAATGAACATCAGCGTAGTATTGATCGGTTAGAAAATATTAATATGAAAATACTTAAGAAAAGTGTGATATTTAGAAAAGAAGAAATTAGTTAAAATAAATGCCATCTTTCTCCAGTTCTCGCTCCACAGTTAATCTGTGTACTGTACTGTTAGCTCATTTTCTCTTAGACGTCCTTTCTTCTTTCGCGAAATCAATTGTTCTGCAAAGAATATTTTTCATTTAGCTTCATACGATGTTACACGCTTTCTGTGAGAAGGGAAAAAATGTTTCTACACAGCATAAACATGAATGCCCTATGATCTTAATAAAATTAGAATTATCCAAATAAAATGCCTTGATTCAAATTAATAATACATTTCTCTTTTTAAAAAGTGCGAAACACTTATTTTTCTCCCCCCCCCCCCCTTTTTTTTTTTTTTTTTTTTTTTTTTTTTTTTTTTTTTTTTTTGAGATTTTCCCCTGATATTATTTTTCATTGCCTCTTGTGCATGTATTAAAGTTATTACACATATTTTCGAACAGTGCACAAAGTAAAATCGATTATAATGAGAGATGGAAATTAAATTATTTATTTCTCTTTCTACGTACCATCCAGAATAAAGCAGATAGAATCGCAAGTGAATTCTGCAGTAAAATAAGGAAAACGTATTCTTATAAATTGATAGCGAGAAAAGCGTAGTATACTTTTAAGGGTACATTGGAGATCAGTAACAAGAAGACGCGCAAGCTAACTGCCCTCATACTCTTATCAGTGAGTATCATGTGATGAACTGTAATTTCCTTTAAATACCTAGATCCCTTTTCAACAATTACGGCACCATATTGAGGTCGTTGTCCAACAGACTCACAACTCTACGTATTCGAGGTAAGCAATTATTCTTATACGCTTGTCATTATGTTCAGTATCCTACAACTCCGAAACTAAGTCTTTTGCCCTTGCCTTTGGAAACAAAAGTTCATTCTAGGATTTTGATGGTTTTACTCTGGAGCACCCTCTATATAGTTTTCATTCTGTAAAGTTATTTTTTACCAATGCGTTTTATTCTAAATACCTGTTCTTTTAATTAGCTATAAGAGAAAAGGTACGTTTCTTACTCATTTTCGCTTTTTTAAGAACATCGATACTAATGGATTTTTCATGGGATTTGAAAGATAAATTTGCATTAGTTAAATCGATCTTCACTTGATTTCTCTGAAAATCTTTCTGACTTTTAAACTTCCTCTCTTTCTGTTACTGTGATTCATCTCACTTATCTGATAGTAACATCAGGTCAGTCCTTAAATTCTGTCGTGACCAAAAGGCAAGGTTTGCGCCTATCATGGGCTTAGGTATCGGGAACTTAAGGTGACAGAAATACCTGTCGGACCCGAACAAGCTTCATCATATGATGTTGAATCTGCTAATTCGTCCTACTGTGATGTTAATGAACTTCGATCAGACGGTACCCCTCTGTTTTGTATAGAAGATAGCCTTAGTTCTGTAATTTCTCAAATATATTTTCTTTCTTAATTATTTTTTAAGTAGTTGCATATTTAGTATCCTCTTCTTTATCCTTCGGATAGGAAATTTCAGTACAAATGTTACATTCCGACTAATTATGATACTATTGGTAATTTGTATCCACCAAACGATAAGATCTTGTTGTTTATTTATATCCAATCGCAATTCATTTAACAGAAGTGTCGTCAAATATTGCCTCTTCTCCTTTCGTGTATGCATTTCGAGTACCGAATGCTTTTATCAGTGTTAATGATGTTTGCTTCTTGTTTCCTTTTTTATAAGTATTTGCTTTCCTCGGCAATCTGTTTTACAGGAAATTTGCTGTAACAAAACCTACACCCAGTACTTGTCTAGATGCTTAGCGCTTTTTGGTATCGTTCTTGTCATCTCAGTTAATTCTCCCGACGCACAGTGTCCATCCAACCTCTTTAGCGTTTTTAGTAGTTATCTAGAGAATCATAGTCTTCTCATAGCCACCAACAACGACACTACCTTCAAAGTGCAAGAAAGAGGATGTCCCCAAGGCTCTTGTGCTGGACCGATTCTCTGGAATTTAACAATCAACGCTGTACTGGATGCAAACTGGCAGACGCAGCTCTTCTTGTCAAAGGTCGCACTCGTGCGGAGCTCTAGAAAAACGGCACCGAAGTCTGCTCCCTCCTCGACAATATCTGCAGCAACTTAAAGCTTACAATCTCTACCGCAAAGTCAACAGCAATAATAATACCGAAAGCAGGCACGAATCCAACGCGCCGCCCCTGCATCAAACTACAAGGAGCCAACGTAAAAATTATCCAAACGCTAAAATACCTAGGTGTAATCTGGGATAAAAAACTAGCCTGGATCCCGCACAACCAAGAACTAAAGAACAAAACATCAGCTATAGCCAGAAAGGCGCGCGCCTTCCAAGGTAGAAACTGGGGTCAGAATCATCATGTTCCATGCGGTAGCTGAAAAAAAAATAGTCTTATATGCTGCTGCCGTATGGGCCCAACCGATGGGAGGACTAAAGATCAAACATCTTACATCTCTTCAACGACCATTCGCCCTAATTCTCTGTAAAGCGTACCGCACCACAGCCACCAGCTCAGCGACAGTCCTTGCAGGGCTCATTCCACTCCACATACGGGCAGAACAAGAGGCAGTCTACACCACCCTCATATACCCCCGCAAAGATGCAACATTTCGCAACATAACATACAGCCCTCTGCAATTTCAAAGCCCAGGTAACAATCTTCCCACTCATCCCGTACGTAAAGGCACAGGAATAAGCATTAACATCTCACGGATACAGCCACTGTCAACGACGCGAGTTTCAAGGGATACGCAAATATACACCGACGGCTCTAAGCAGGAAGACGGAGTAGGCAGCGCCTTTGCACACTATGACAAAGGAAGAATCATCCATGTATGGAAAGGACGCCTTGACTTAAACCACAGTGTGTTCCAGGCGGAGGAACAGGCAATTATAACGGCGGTAGATTGCATTTTCAATAATAATATAGAACGGTCGAAAATTTTCACAGACAGTATGTCAACACTTCTAGCACTAGATAATCACAACCACACCTCGCCCTTGATCATCGAATTACAACAACTTTTACAGCGCAACCCGCAGAAACATCTCTCCTTAACATGGATCATGGCACATGCAGAAAATGAGGGAAATGAAACAACTGATAGCCTGGCCAAGCAAGCAACCACTGATTCAGAAGCTGAAAAAATCAAAATCCCAGCCCCTCCTTCCTACCTCAAAGGGCTATTACGGGGTCAAGGCCTAAATCTTTGGCAGGAAGACTGGACGCACTGCACAACTGGAAGACGTACATACAGCTTCTTCCCGAAAGTCGGCACTGAACGCAACATTGCAATAGCTCCTCTTACGGCTTATATTACGGGACATGGCCCATTCCCAACCTACTTTAATAGACATGGCATAACAACCACGGACATATGCGCCTGCGGAGCGGAAGGCTCCCCAGACTACTATGTTTTTGAATGCCATCTGACAGCAGGAAATCACCTTCCTCTTCTCATCAACAATAGAGAAGCTTATCACCGCTTCCTTATAAAGCACAAACCGACAGTAAAGACAATCTGCAAAGTTGTTAACAAGCTCAAGAGAATGGTCCAAGATTTGTGCTCTCCTCATTAACCAAAACTCTCAAGGCATGATACACTAAGTCAGCATGCAGTTCCACATTCTCAACCACATAAGTCTACTCCTAAAACTTACATAAGTCCCTGTTACAGACACTTATCAAATAATGTACAGTCAAATGTATTTAACATTTCCTCTTCTGTATATGCATAATACTTATTTTTTTAACTTATGAGCCTGTATTTTAATCCTATTATTTTGTAACTGTATTTTTGTATCTGTATATTTAATTTGTATTTTTATTTGAATTTTATTATGAATATGCAAAATTACCATAACAAATTGCAACAATAAATGTCAAAACAGTAAAACGAATGCAAACTGCTCTTGTATGCCATGTAAATGCTCTTGTTAACATCCTAAAAAGCTCCCGAGGCGGCCTCTTGAGGCCTCAGGGGAGTTGTTCCTGGTTAGCGGAGGGCGCGGGACACATGCCTGTTTACCTATGTTAGACATCAGGCGTCCCCGTCCTCCGTTACCAACCAACCAACCATCTCAGTTAGTGTGAAATTGTTTCTTTCAGAGATTCCATTTTGTTTCGAAGAAGAAGAAACAGTTTTCTTGTGTACTATTTCCTTTTCTCATAACAATTTTTCAAAGTCGTCGCTTACGTATTTTCCTCCTCGATCTGACCTCAATCGTTTTGGTGCTTTCTCAAATTGTGTTAATACTTGTTTGATGAAGTATAAGTTCTTTAGTTTCTTCTTTACGCTTCAGAATGTAAACTGTAATGCATCTGCTATAATCATAAATTACTCTTAATATATATCTTGCAAACCCTGGAGTTATAGTTTTCGTTTGTTTGCGGAGATCTGTATGCACTAAATCGACTATTTCGAAGGTTCGCGAAGTAGACCTTCTGGGAGACTATTCTCTGAATACTTTGACAGCAATATAATCCTCATATGTCAATACACTGGAACAGGGAGCTATATTCATATCTTCAGCTATGATTTCTTTATACATCCCTTAAATATCTACAAGACTTTTATGAACTAATTTTATATGCCAATCATGAAGGTATTTCGCATGGATATCTTTCAAACGAAGGAGCATGTTCACTTTCCTTAAGAACATATAAGCCTTCTCTGATATAACCGAAACTATTATTTACCATTCTTAATAATATGGTTTTCGTACCCTCTATTAAGAATCACCACCACCACTCTTAAATAACTCACATATTGTTAAGAATAAATCACTACCACCACTCTAAAGTAAAGGTAAATCACGTATTTGTTTAATACCTGTTTTTTTATGAAATAGAGTTTGCTTCAAAAGTTTTAAATCAATTAACATCACTTGAATTGTTTACCAAAGACCCGCCATTCCAGTTTAAAACATGAATGAATACGAAACTAGAGATAAGAAAACTTTAGTAATCTGATACATTTCCAGACATAAAGTTTAAGTTTTATTAGCCCAAAAGAAAAATAAAGATAAATTAATGGAATAAACCCTCGTCAAACAATCACAATTATTCGAAACAGTAATAAAAGACTTTCAGTAGGTAATTAGAAAATATGACACTAAAGAAAATTATACTTATCATAGGAAACCGAAATAAATGTCCTTCTAAAGGACAGCATTTATGTCAAAGAAATATTAAAATATAGAGAAAACTTTTAAATTTCTTGTTTTATATTAAATTTTGAAATCTCTTATTAATTGTTTCACGACCCCTAAAACTGAAGTTAATTTTCCTATAATAAAGTTTTTAATGTCATTTTTCAAATTAGTTTAATAAATTCAAATGTAATATGCAGTTTTATATATTACATTAGTTTTTCAAATTCCGACAAGAACAATAATCCGGTAAGTATTACAAGCGGAAGATCATCTATTCTAATTTATTTTTTAACTGTAAATGTGAATTTAGATTAATTGTTCAGAATATTTTTAATAGCTGTCTCTTTCTGATGCACTTTGCATAACTTGGGTTTTACACTTCATTCTTCTAACAGTAAAATTAGCACATGTACGGAATAAAATTCAATCTAAGGAAGAAATAAATCTCACTTACGTTTCCTTTTTCGGTGCTACACCTTTCTTCCTCTTGAACAACAAATGAACAGGAAATCAGTAATTCCATAAAGTAAAAAATATTCATTATTTACTAAACGTAACACTTCATATAAAATAACATGCTCTTTAAAATGCAAAATATTCAAAACAATAAAGGGAAACTGGTACCCAGAAAAAATAACAACAATTTTATTAAAAGTATAAGGTATTTACTCCCTCCTTTCCGCATGGCTTTGTGGTGCATTTGGAAGCATACTAGACGCGTATTGGAAAGGCCCACGATTCAAGTGGCGGCAACAACATTGCACATTTTTCACGTCTCCTGTTTCAAAATATAGCCTCACTCTACTAAAAATTCATATTCAAGTCCTTTAAAGCCAACATTAAACTTTAAATTGTTTAATGTTGGCTAATTGTTTAATGTTGGCTTTAAAGGACTAAATTTCAAAGGGTAAAACTCGAAAAACTACTCAACAAAATTGTACATTTAATTTTTATAATTATTTTTCTGCAGACAGCGAGTAATAAAAAAGCGTGGGACAGCGTGATCTTCTCTGGCATTTCCCCAATTAGCTTATTTCGTTTATATAATTGTTGATTTTAATTTTAAGCTAAAATGAGTGAAAGGTGGGGAAAAATTTCCGAAAACCGAATAATTTTTAGAATTATACAGATCTTGTAAATAAACTGGCCCAGATCTCCCATGCGATTTTTTTTTCTTTTTGTTGTTTTAGTTAGAATTTTTAGCGATTCAGAATAAAAATGCAAACTATTTGGTATTTGGATGATCATTTATACCGAAAATAGAAGCCTATAACTCTAATCCCTTCAAAAACTGAGAGCAAAAAATACTTATAAGGAAGCAGTGCAGGACATTTTATTTTGCAAACAATGTCAAACGTCCAGTTATTATTTCATAACAAGTTAGTGTATTCTTGAGGTGAATGATGGTGATATTTTAAACGCAGAATCACACATGCAGGTATTTATAGTACCACATCATTTAACCCTCTCGCTGCACATCCTGCGATTTCCACGGGCAACGTAAAAGTAGCAAAATTTGCGCAACCCGCGGTTTCCGCGGGGATGAATTTTTGTAGTCTATTTAACTGTGGAACCCGCTCTTTCCCCGCTCAAGATTTCCTTTCGGCTTTTCTGTGATGTTTAATTGTTTATATAGATGTGGGCTAACAGATGGCGTTAGTTGTCCACATTTCTGCCAAATAATAAAATATACGTTAATGTAGCATTTTGCGCGCGCTTTTCAGAGCTCAAAGATGTCAGACAGGAAGCGTTTCGCGAGTGAATATAACATATATTCCTGACGATATTTCCGACACTGATAGTTGTTCTGATTCTGATTTCAAATATATTGAAGATAGTTATAGCGAAACTGATGAGAATTTTCTCGGATTCCTCTGCAGATAGTGATGAATCTGAAAAGGTCAGTTTCTATTGAAAACGTTCGACAGTGGTGCAAAATTGATATATAAAATATTACATTATGCAAATATTATCATTGGTATATATGTTTTACTTTTGTATTTTATAAAATAAATTATAATTTAACCAATATTAATTTTCAAAATTTTCCTTTTATATCATTATTCTTCAATTTCAGTATTCTGACAACCTTTCTCTATGATCTAATTCTATATTGAAAAAAACTCTTTTACAAAAAAAAAATTTGTATGTTTCAACTCCAAAATATATGTAGATTTGAAATATGTGATAAAAAATACGCAATTTTTGAACCTATTTTTATAAAAAAAAAGTACGCAGGGAGAGGATTAATGGGATATAACTGAGAAAAGTTTACACAGTAAATATTTTCTTGAAAATAGAAACTTGAGCCTATTTTTTCTTTGCCACATATTGTAATTTCATCATAATTTGAGCTTTTTAAACGCTGATAGCTCTTTGTAATCTATTTTAATTTCAAACTTTATTACCGAACTGTGATTTTTCATGCAAGAAAAAGAAATCATTTCTATTAGATTTGTATTCATATATAAATGTACTCATAAATATATTACCTGTATCTGTTTTGCTTCTTCTTTTGTTACTTCGTATGATATTTGCCTAAGAATAATGAGAATGGCATTATATTCTTTTATGTTCAAGAATTCAATATAAATATAACAAAAAATATTACAAATGAGAGAGCTCATTTGAAAGAAGGGAAAATGAAACATTTCGGAAAACATTCAGAGACAGAAACTCTATCTATTATATTACTAATCCATTGGCGTAACAAGTATGTTTGGAATTTATTCATTAATTAATATTAATTGGAATGGAAGCTATTTTTTTAGATTAAAAGTTCCTAGTATAACCTCAAGAAACAAATACAATCCTAAGGAAAAAAACAATATAGCGCTATGAATAGCTTCAGCTGTTGACGGTAAATAAAATCTCAATAAATATTGTGCAAGTGGAGAAAGGTTTAAGAGAAAAAGATTCATATTTTATACAAAAGGAATAAAGCAGCGTCTTTCAGCCAGCCCCATCAGGTGCAAAATCAAGCAAAAGAAAAAGCCGAAGTAAGAGTTATCGGCTTAAGTTGACAAATGCCTTCTGGTGGACCTGATTTGCATTTTCTTTATACACTGTTGGCCATTAGAGTTGAAACGCCATGAAGGAAATAAAATACAAGAAAGATATTTATTGTGCGTATACAAAATGGCATGAAGACAAAATTACCATATTTTTAAGCAGTCTGAGAATTTACAGGGGTGCGAAATTTGTCGAAATATCTGTCAGCCCTGGCAGCTGAAACGGCCTTTACCCGGTTAAGCGTGGGGTCGAACATGGCTTGGATGTCAGAAACGGGCAACTCATTCCATGCTGCATCAAGTCTATACCACATACTATTTATTGACCTTATTAGCTGGAGATGGGTGGCGGGGCAATCTCTCAGCAACCCATTACCAGATGTTTTCAATGGATGAGAGATCTGGAGACCGTGCAGGCCAGAGCAGCAAGGGCAGCAACCTTATGTATCGACTAATGTCAGAACACGACAGGCAACACGTGGTCTTGCATTATCTTGTTGAAAGATGGCATTTGGCAAGTCTCAAAGATAGGGCACAACCACTCGACTTAAGATGTCAGAAATGTACCGATCTGTGTTCAAATTACCATCGATTCGAACTATAGATGTGCGTGCCGTGTACCCAGTGGCTACCCAAACCATCACACAAGGTTCAGGTTCCCTATGCCGATATCAAATGCAAGCAGACGACGTGCGGTCTCCTCGAAGACTCGAGACAGTTATACTGACATCAGAATACTGCACACAGAACTGGGATTCGTCTGAAAAGACGACATTGTGCCACTCCTGTATACAACTTTGTCGTTCGGGCACCACATTCGCCATCTCTCTATGCTGCATTGTCAAGGGAAGCCGAAGTATGCCGTGCTGATAGTCCACGCTGCTGCAAACGCCGACGGACGAGCGGATACTGGGAGTTCTGGAAAACATGCCCAATTCTTGACTAATGGTCCGTGATGTGGTTGTGCGGTTTTGCAGGGCTGACCTCACAATATGTGTCTCCTCTCCGGCGTCAGTCATGGGAGGGAGGAGATTCTGCATGTTGCTCCGTATGACCCTCAGCAACCCATTGATTCCATATTTACATGACAGTGTTTGGGTGTCGACCAGTTTGACAGGCGATAGCATAGAACGATAATCCCCACTTTTGATAGGTAACGATCCTGCCTTTACCGAATTCCGCCACTTGCTGGTAAGTATTTCTTCTTAATTATCGAGGCATAACACGATATTCTGAGCATACTCCGTCCTTACAAAGCTTTTCCCGAATGAAAAATTCCATACACAACTTTATGCAGTACTTCAGACGGGGTGTCTACTTCCAGGGTCGTTTAAATGCGCTGAAATACTAATAATTTGCATATCCCAGCCTGGTCTTCCTTTCATGTGATTTTGACGTTCGTCAGATCAGTCCTTCCTGTTGTTGCAATTTAATGGCCAGCAGTACACATGGGGAAACATTTACAAAAACAGGCAACCAGCCTAATCGCTGGGATTCGAGCCCATATTGAACTATCAATTTTATCGGTACAGGGGCCAGATTTATAGAATTAGAAGATGCTTTTCAGCAAATATATCTCCTTATTTTCATGGCAAGTTTATTTATAATATATTTTTTCTACATCTGCAAAACGTAAGGGCTGGTTTTAAGTATGCTTGACGTTTCAGGAGCAAAATTAGTTAATTTAAAAATTTATTTCCTTCTGTTTACTATTATCACTTCAAAAAATCAATATAAATTTGCATTAAATATAAATAACTCATAACACTATTTTAGGAATGAGTACATTATCGTACAAATAGTAATACCTGCAATAGATAATAATTCATATTAATTTTTTCTACATGCTTCGGATTCATTTGCAGATAAAATGAATTTCATTTTTACATCTTTCCTTTTAATAATTTTATCTTGTTTCTATGTATGCAAGTGTTCAAACGGATATTTCATGCACATGCTTTAATAAAATTAAGAATAACTAAATTTACTTTCTACTGCGAACAGAAGTTTTGATATTTAATGATGAGTTAATCTAAAATACGATTTTTGGCATTGAAAGCTGAAACAAATTTTTACAATCTAATTTTGTTCAAGATAGGTAAACTTCATTATTCCTAGAAAATGTAATTTAGGTATTAAATTTAATATTTACAGTTAAACTGAGTATCCTCTTGGGTACTTGGGAATTTATTTTTGCCTCAATGTGTGTGTGTTTTGGTGTATTTAATTACGGCAAAGCAGACAAGGCCTATCTGCCTAAGGGAAGGGATGCCTTCGTGGAGGACTTTCTAAGGGAAACTGACTCGTATACACGTTACACATGGGGAAAACCACGAAAACGCCCATGCAGCCAGCCCGTTCGCGGGATTCGAACCTCGGATCGAACTACCAATGTTCAGCGACTTTACCGCTCGGCCGCTGGTGGGCCCTTTGTCTCAATGTAATCTCTTCGGTAAATGTAAATGCATAAATGTAATCTTCGATCAAAAAAAAATTCTAATCTTTAGTACTTCCAAAATGAAACTGCAAGATTTCGAAGTCTGACCAAATGCTTTAAAATAAAACTGTTTCAAAGAAGTCACCAGTTCTTAATTTAAAACATTTTCTAAGAGCAAACAGCACAAAAGAAATAAAACGTTTATTTAAGATTACGTGATTTAAATTGATTATAAGTATCTTTTGTTTATTTGACGACTCTAACGAGTCAATATAACATTTTATGCTGAACGGAATTGAAAACTGGAATTGCCTCTAGCAATAAAAGCAGCTGAATATGGATGATTTGCCAACACTTAAAATATTCTTATAAAATTATATAATTCGTCAAACAATTATACAGAATTCTTTATTACCAACATGCAGGTTTGCATTCCGCAGCACATGTTTCTGCGATTTTCTGGGAATATTCATCTGAAACTAAAATTCATAAATAAATAAATTTCAATAATTTTATAACAAAGGTTTCAATATCATTAGGAATATTCTTATTTTATAAATTTAAAAAACAGAAGCATATCTGTGAAAGGACTTTCTTTGAATCTTAAGAGAAGTAAAATAAAATTAACTTATTTAAAAGTAACTAGTTGTTACTTTGCTTATAAAAATAATAAATATTTCAGAATAATCACTTTCGGACGAAAAGGCAAAATTACGAATTTGTGGCCTGTTAGCTAAAGCTTTCTGCATGTCAGCTGTTTTATAGTAAAGAATTTCTTACTTTCTTAGTCAAAAGTTTATTTTGCGATTATTATAACTCACAAATGAGCAGCAAATTTTTAATTTTAATTTATTACAGTTCTGATAATCATTTTCCAATTATTCTAACACACAGAAACATATAAAATACTTAATTTGTGTTCATGTTATAGTCCTGATAATGTGTTTTCTGATAACTCTACGCTCATGCATAGAAAAGGCTTTATTTAAACTCGTATTACAACTCTGAGGTTTATTAATCTATTATTCTATTCACATATGTACCAAAAATTCTTGTTGTCAGTTCGGATTACAACTGTGATTTTCTTGACGTAAATGTCGAGCTATTTGGGAAGATTGGCAAGATTCTGTCTTTCGTATTCTACTTTAGGACTGAACATTGAATACTATTTGAATTTGCAAACTGGGATTTAAACTCTTTCACAATTTTATATAATGAAATTCAACAATATATATAAGCTATTTTCAGTAAAAAAAAGTCACAGGTATTTCGAAGAAAACATATTGCCTCGCCCTTAAAAAATATATACAAATGCAGTAATTAACTAATTTGCTAATAGATAAATAAACAATTCCCTGAATTGCATTCAATTTTACATAAACACTTTGAGCAAAGGATAATAAAAATTCTAATTGTAACTTGTAATTAAAAATAGTAAAGGATTAAGAAAATAAGAAAAGGATTCTAAGAAGATTGATTTTAAGAATAGCATATGTTCTATTTTTATATGTTTTATGGAAGTGCTATTGACTTTTTACTACTCTGTTTCAAATGTTTGGCATAAATTACTCTACTTAAAAATCTAAAATGAGATATCCCTACCTCCCATTTAATTATCCTATGTGAATAAACATTACAAAGAATGCAAATACTTTTATGCGTTGGAAAACATACAGTATGTATGAACTATAATAGTTTAAATAAGGTTTAGATATGAATTTTCCATATGCAATTGTATAGAATTTTGCCAATAGTTCATTCTGGTTGTTCAACATTGTTCCGTCTTTTCGGTAGAAGGGTGGCGCTCTTGATGCGCGCCGATGAAAAATATTTCACTTGAAGCTTGAACTTGAAGAATGACGCATGCCATACCCTTTTGATGCTTGATTATGTTTCATGGCCGCTATAGACGGAAGTAATATACTATATCTTTAAGTTTATCGTTAATAAATGTTATTTCTGTGTTCTGTGAAATCTTGAAGTTTTGATTTGAAATTCTAATGCTCTCCCAACCTGTTTCCTGAAAACGAAATCAACTTGAGAAATTACGACTCATGAAGAGACACCATACACATTTTGGTGTCT